CGCCGGGGGGGGGGGACAGCGGGTGTGTGTGGGGGGGGGGGGGGGGGGTAGTGAAGGCTAAGAAAAGACAGGGGGCTTTTGGGTGTCCTGGTTCTAGGCCTGTCCCTTTCATGTGGCCCCAGCAGGGGGCACTGCAGCCCTCCGAGGCCAAGAGGGCTACCAGTCCTTGTACCCAGGGTTAGCCCTGGCCAGGGCCCAGCTGGGTCATGCTCATCCCCCCAGACTCAGGCTGCCAGCCGTCTACCCTCTCCAGGGCATGAAGCCATGGCTGGAGGACACAAGGAGCCGTGGAAGAAAAAAAAAAGTTTATTTAATCAGAGAGCCTCTGAAGGCACCTGGTTTCTGTTGAGTATAAAAAAGGCAATAAAATGGCAACTGTACAGGGTGAATGATGGGTAGGAACTAGGCATGGGGAGGTGGGAGGAGGGACATGGAGAGAAGGGGGAGGGAAAATATCAGATCAGTCCAAAGAACGGTCAGCCCTGACCTCAGCCACCTTCTACAGGCAGGCAGACAGACAGACAGACACACACACGCATAGACACACACTCTCTCTCTGAGCCCAGGAACCTCTGCTGCTTGCTCAGGCAGGGGTCAGTCAGGGATCGGTCCCCTGCAGGGGAACCCAGGCAGGTGCAGAGATTGCGCCTCTTCCCTTGATTCTGACCCCTGAGCCCACAATGTCCCCTCTGTCCATCCACGGAGGTGCCCCCTCCTGGGCCTGAACATTCAGGCCTGATAAGAATGCAAAAGTCGGCTAGAAGAGAAAACCTCCAGCCCAGTGGAGGCAGAAGACAGGTGGGCAGTGCAGTCTTTCTGTCTATCCATGGTCACACAATGGCCCGGAATAGGAAGGAGAAGACAGCCCCCAGCGCCAGGCCCAGAGACAGAAAGAAGGCCATGATGGCTCCTGCCGTCTCCGCCTCAGCCGGCTTTACTTTCCTAAAAGAAGGAGGGCAAGGCCACCTTAGGATAGCCACCACCGGAGCCCCGAGACCCAGCCCTGAGCACGTGGGGTGGAAGCAGGATGGGGAGGCCAATGTCCGAGTGCCCAATTCTGCCCAGTGATGCAGCCTCCTTTCCTAACTCCAACCCAGCTTCCCTGCCTTGGGGGGACAGTGTGCACTGGAGCTGCCTCCCACCCCTACACCACCTGTCTCTACCCCCAGCCCGCATGCCCTCTCCAGCCGCCTGCCCTCCTGGCCCTAGCCATCAGGGAGTCTCCTTCTGCCAGCTCTTCCTCTGCTGCCTGCCCCTGCTCCAAACTCTGCTGATGCCAACAAGCTCCCTCCTGGGCCCCACTCACTTGGGCCCGAAGCACATGCACAGGCTGGCCAGGTAGCCATTGGAGAAGGCGAAAGCAGCCATGAAGAAGATGAACCAGGCGTCGTGCTCAAAGACCACAGTCAGGTAGCGGCGGGGCTTGACGTTACACAGCAGCAGCAGAGGCACGAACACCAGCCGGGCCAGCACCAGGCTCGGCAGCCAGCGGCTGTCCTTCCCGGGCTGCGGGACCAGACAGAGTCTCAGCAGGGCTCCAGGGAGGGGCCTGGGGACCTGAGCTGAAACCTCAAAGCCTGACTGCCCTGGGGGGATACTAATTAGGAAGGGCACTATAGAGCCTGCTGGGTGCTTGCTGGAAACGCTACCTCCATCTAGATGGTGGTTTGGCAGGTAAGGGTGTGTGTGTATGCGTGCATGCGTGTGTACGTGTGTACGTGTGTGTGTGTATTAAGTTGTAGACGTAAGACTTGAATGCTGAACTATACATATATTTTGATTTAAAAAAAATAAAAAATGGGTCCCTTACCACCATGCTTTCTTGGGTTCCCTTTCTGGGTCTCAGGTTGGAGTCCTCCCTCCAACAGGGGCCTGGTACTCGCTTTCCTCCACTTACCCACATGCATACAGCTGTGAGGCTCCGGCCCAGCCAGTCGAAGATATTGAAAGTCAAAAAACAGGACACAGGAATGAAGTAGTCTCCTGCAGGAGGAGGAGATTAAGAGGCAGTTGTCAGGCCCCGGGAGGCAGAGAAAGCAACCCTGGCTGTCATGAGCCTATTTCCTCAGCTGTAACATGGATGCTTCCAGTCAGGGAAGGCAAATGAACTCAGCAGGGTCTAGCGGGGAGAAGGTAACCCAGGCTCCTGTCCCCCCACTCCAGTCCTGTTTGAGATTGTGTCTGGCGCCATCCTGGGAATCTGGGATCACCCTTACTCCAAGAGCTGGAGCCCGCGATGCTGGACTGGACCTCAGCGGTCACGGCAGGAAACAGCCCAATGGTGACCGTGAAGATGAAGCAGACGGAGAAGGCCAAGACTGAGATCTGAGGAGAAGGGGTGGGCGCGGTGCGTTAAAAAACCGACAACTGCCCCCACCACCACCATGAGAGAATGCAGGGGAGTGACCAATCTCAGGTCAGGAAGGGAGGGCCCAGGAAGGGAACCAAAGGAGACTAGGGGTCAGGGTGGAGGGCAGGACACCCAGACCACCTACGTTTTTGAGGATGGCTCTGACAGAGTGGCTCTTGGCAGTGGGCTGAGAGTTGGGGGCCGAAACTCCTGGTTCCTCTTTGTCTGCTCTTGGCTCCTCCCCTGTGGAGTGACAGGTTAGCGAAGATCTTCAAACTGTGGGCAGGACTGAGCCCCAGGAGATGGGACATTCCACAGAAGGGCTGGTTAGCTGGAGGTGGACACCCCTTTAACCAGTCCACAGCCGCACCCTAACACCTAGGCCAGACTCCTCCCCAGCAAGCCCCCTGGGGTCTGACCTCTCCCAGAAGCCCTGCCCAAGAATCAGAGATTGTTTCCCACTGCCTTCAGCCAAAACGTCTCAGGCATTTAAGGTTACCCAGGATCACCCGGCCTTCTTTCTATTTTTTTCTTTCTTTTTTTTATTTTGAAGAGATTTCTGCCATAGAGTCACCCCCCAGGAGGGATGGCCACGTCACAATCCCTTCTCTCCCATTCTCCTCTTTGGGATTTTGGGCATGCATGCACACATGCCTGGCATGATTTTCAAGCCACCAGTTCTGGGACTGGAACCACAGTCACCCAGGCCTTTCTTTTTTTTGGAGTTTTTTTTTTTTTTTTTTTTTTTGCTATAGGACACGTGTGCTCACCAGACAGAGAGAGACATAGAGACAGAAAGCGAGAAATCACCCCCCAGGGGGGATGGCCACGCCACAATCCCTTCTCCTCCATTCTCCTCTCGGGATCTTGGGCACGCACGCACACGCGCCTGGCAGGCCTTCTTTCTTATTGTCCCCTTTGCCCCAGTCCTGGCCCTCCAGCCCACTCTGGCTCATGACCTCCAGCTAATGCGAGGAGCTCATCCTGTCCTCCCTGTCCAGCGTCCCTGGGTGATTCGGACCTTTGCTGATGAGGTCCAGCTTGGTCTCCTGCTCCCCAGGCCCTTCGAGCTTGAGCTGCTGGTAGTAGCGATAGAAGTCCTGTCATGTAGGAGAGACGGGAGAGGTGGATGCAGACGCAGGGTTTCTAGAATTCCCACTTCCCCCAGGGTTCAGCCTCAGAACCACCTCAGTCTGGAACCCAGGACCTGCCTCCTTGCCCCAGTATCCTGAAGCCCAGCCTCTTCCGCATGCTCACCAGCCGGGGCAGGCCCAGGTAACAGGAGATGGTCAAAATGATGACGCCACAGGCTGTGATAAAGTAGCCGAAGGCACTCTCCGACAGCTCCGAGCCGCCTGGTTGGAGAGCATCAGGGATCAGGACAGGCCCCAGGCACTGCTCCCCACACCCACCAGCACAACGGGCGGACAGCAGGACTTACTGGCGATGGCGCAGATCATGGCCACCGAGGCGAAGAAGCCTGCCAGGCCCTGGCCGCTCATGATGGGGGCCGTGTAGCTGGCAGGCAGGAGGCCAGCCAGGCCGAACAGGCTGCCCTGCAGGATGGCCCCGAAGGCTGGGGAACAGCAGGGCATCAGCGGGGGGAAACTGAGGCTGGAGGTTGGGGGTCCCCGAGAATGCAGGTCCCTGTCATTTCTGCTTTCCTCCCATGAGTCTCGATGCCAAGCCGCCCTTCTCTCTGCCCTCACGCCAACCCTGGCCAGGCCTGCTCAGGTCTCTGACTCCCAACTGCCCACGGATCCGTTCCCCTTCTCTGGCTGCAGTGGGTCTGAAGGGGTGAGGCAGGCCCTCCGCCCAGGGCCCCTGCCCGCCGGGGCTTACAGTTGATGAGCATGATCTTGACCATGGTGATGATGAAGAAGGGCAGTGGGTCCATGGGCACCTTCACCAGGATGGCAGTGATCAGGAACACCAACAGGATGGCCACCAGGCTGCCCAGTATCCGCACAGATTGGGGGATCCTGCCGGGAGAGGCCGAGGGTGGCAGAGAGTGGTGGGCAAGGCCAGGGCTTGGCCCTGGGAGCACAGGAGGCGGCGAGGGGCGGGCTGCAGCCGCAGGGGAAGGAGGGTGCCCACCTCTGATGCAGGAAGGAGTTGAGGCAGGTGAAGAGCAGCAGGGGCAGCATGGCGCACAAGGTCATGACGTTGTTGAAGATGGCACTGAGAGAATTCCGCTCTGGCGAGGCAGCCGCAGGGGCAGCCGAGGCCTGGGTGTCCTTGTTCAGTTCAGCAGTGTCTGAGGACACATTCTGGGACGTGTCCAGGCGGTTTGTGAAATACTGTGGCAGTGGCAGAGAAGAGTGTTGGCGACCGTCTCTCTGTGCCCACGGGTACAGATCTAGACTGTGCATGCCCCAGAGACGTACCACCAGGGCCCGGCCTCCCCAGCCTCACCTGAGTGGCTGTCATAAAAAAATTCCAGGGCAGCAACGTCCCCAGACCCAGCATGAAGAAGATAAGCCAGACAGCTTTGTATCTAGGATGGGAAAGGAAAGAGGGCCGAGTGACTGACCATCCATCCTCTTCCAGAACAAACCTGCGAAGGCCCTCCCTTCCTGCCCCTCAGTGTCTCGGGCTACAGGGCACCTGTGTGTTGGGTCTATACATATGTGATCTCCTGGCCCTTCTAGGGGTGGGTGTGTGGAGGACAGAGTGTCTTGGAATAGGACAAAGGGGACAAAAGTCAAGAGTGAGAGGGCCAGGTCATGGGACCAAATGGCATGGCCAGCAGGAACTTGGTTCTCAGCGCTGGAAGACTCGGGGGACCCTGCTGGCTGGGAACCAATATGACCCACACATCCGGAGATGGTTTTAGAAACCCTGTTGAGGGCTGGGGTGGGCGGGTGAGTGAGAAAGCAAACAGCAAGTGTCTTCCACCCCCATCAGGCAAGCTGGAAGTGATTATGGTGTCTGGGTAGGGACTGTGGCTCCCCAAAGAGGATTCTGAGGTCAAGCAACTCCCAGACCATTCTGGACCTAGTGGGGCAGGAGGGCGGGGTGCCTTGGGGCGGCTGGGAAGTGACGGAGCTAGAGCTGTTTTCTTCCTGGCCCAGACAGAACTGGCTTTGTAGGTCATACCACTCAGGGCAGACCAGGAGGCATGGGGCCACTAGGTGTCATTTGAGTCGGAGTATAAATAAGGGTCACCCAACTTTGGCCAGGCAACACCCATGCCCTCACTTCGAGGTCCGTCCGGCACAGGTCAGTATGCCTGCAAGGTTAGCCACCCTGGCTCCTTCTAGTCGTGATCTCCGGATGTGTCTGCCATACCCTCCCCATAGTCAGCACCGGCTGTCTTCAGAGATGCCCTAGACGGTGAGGAGACAGGCCTGGCCAGAGCGCAGAGCCCTGGAGGCTAGCAGGCCTTACGCGAGGAGGGCCTGGGTGAGCGCCCTCAACTTCATACACTCCCCTGAACAAAGAGAAGCTACACCTCGGTTCAGAGGTTCTGAGCGGAGGGGAAAACGCCCAGCTGAGGTCACGTAGACTAGAGGGTCAGAAGTCAGGCTGGGAAATGAGGGAGTGGTACGAGGTGGGTAGAGATGGGAGTTTCGGGAAAATGCCCAGGAGAGGAGAAGGGCCGTGGTGGGGGCCAGGCGCGCCCTGGGACCTGTGCTCCTGTACCTCACTTCACAGAGGGAAATGGCCCGGAAAAAGCGAGCTAAGCGTCCAAGGCCCCACAGCCAACGGTGGCCCAGGGCTGTAGTCTCTGGCAGAGAAAGGAAGGGTTCAGGGCCCTCGGTCACAGAGAAAGACAGAGCCTGGCCACTGGGAGGAGTTTGGGACCTAAGGCATCACTTTGTCAACTTTCTCGGGCCCCAGAACCCTTGGAGAACTGGAGCCAAACTATAGGCTCCTCCTCCAAAACGCATATCTCCAGTCATAACTGCCAATCTCTATCCTGAGGGAGCTCATGGGCTCCTGAGGGGGGATGTGGGGAAGATTGGATCAAGGGCCAGGGCGAGCCTGGGTCATCTGAGGCAGAGGCCCCAGGGCAGCCTAAGGGACAGGGCAGTTCTGCCAGATGAGCTCTGGTATGAGGGGTGCTGCCAAGTGGCTCCCCGCAGTGGTGGCAGGAGGAGCTGGAAGCTGCTGGTTGGCTGGAGAGCAACAGTGGAAACACTGAGAAGCCGGGAGGGACCCCAGCCTTCCCCGCAGACGGCCCCGCCAGCACCCAGCCAAGGCATGCATGGTCCCCACCCCTGCTGCAGACCTGACTCATAGCAACCTGGCTGGAAAGCCAGTCAGCAGTGGAAACCCCAAATTCCAAGGGATATTGCACCCAGCCCCTCAGAGACCCATTCCCTGGGTCCCCAGCCCAGACCCTGCATCCCATACCTGTCCTGAGGCTGGTGATTGGTTGTCATGGTGACGGTGTTCTTGGTAGGGCCTGGCTGCTGGCTCCCTCCTCCTGGTGCTTGCTGGGGGGCAGAAAGTGTGAGGCCCTGCCTTAGCCTTGCCTCTCTGCAGGCCTCCTTAGACTGGGGGGGGAGGGGCAGGGCAGACAGAGCAGGTAAGCTGGGGAGTCCAGCAGGACCCCACTCCTCGAGACCATTCAACTTGACCCCCACTGGTGCTCCTGGCCCAGCAGGCCAGTTCTCTCGAGGCCCCCTGCCTGCAGGATTCTACCTGGCTCCGGGCCTGGCCGCTGCCACCGCTATTTTTATCCAGCAGCCGAAGCAATTTAGAAGCTGGGAAGCAGGAGGGTGGAGAGCAGGAGAGAAGGAGGGAGGAGTATGATGGAGGGGAGGGAAAGACAGTCAAGGCAGGCAGGCAGCAGGACGACAGGGGTCAGGGACAGCGATGACAATGGAAGGAGGGACAGGAGGAGGGACGCCAAGTGGAGGAGCTAGAGCAGAGATGAGGAGGAGGGGTGGAAGGGCACAAAACAAACCGTCCTGAAGGAGCAGCGACAACGGGGATATGACAGCTGAGCCAGAAAGCTGCTCCAGGCCCGTCCCTGCAGATCTGAGCTGTCCCCTGTCTCTAGGCAGCCCTGGAATCATGGTAAGGGGGCAGTGGGGAGCCTGTTCCCCTGTAGGCAGCCTGGACGTGACCCTCTCTGCTGGTGGCACCTCAACCTTTCTCTCCAGCCACTGCCCAGAGGCTTCCTGGTTCCTGGCCAGTTTTCTAGGAAAATATTTCACAAGGGGTGTGGGGACACAGGCCTTCCCAAAGCCTAGCCTGGCCCTTCCCCTGACCCCTGGGGTCACCCCAACCCCCCTCAGTTCCGCTCTCACTCAATCCTAGTCCCCTGTCTTCTTCCCCTTTCTGAGCGCAACCACAAAGGGAAGATTAGAGGGGTGGGGGGCCCAGACCCGACTAACAGCATGATACCAAAACTCCTGGCCTCCACCCTTGGCACCCCTCTTTTGCTCCCCACTCCTTTGGGGGGAGGGTGCTGCTTGGCACCAGCTGATTACCGGGCTTGGATGACATGGAAAGCAGGCAGGCAAGCACTGGCACATCCCCCATGAGGGGCCTAGCTGGGACCAGGTCTGTTTGGGAGTAAGGACAAGCTTCCCTGCCCTCCCTATCCAGGCACTCACCGGATGCCCAGACTGGGCAGAGGGGGGGCCTGGGCAGTCCCTAGGAGGCGGTTCTCGCTCAGACTCAGGCTCAGGCTCAGGCAGCGGCAGCAGGCCTCGTCCACTGGCTCCTACGTGAGGGTCCAGAATGACAAGGCAGCACAGGGTATGTCAAGGGAGAGCCTTTCAGACCTCACGGGGCCCCACTCTGAGAAGCCTCACCGGGAGCCTGCCTGCCTGTCTACGAGATAAAAGCCACTCCTGTAGCTAGGGAGATAAGAGAAGCAGGAGTCTCAGCGGGGGAGCTAGGGGTGGGCCAACTCCCAGGTGCAACCTACCCCGGCTCTAGACCCCAGCCAGAGAGAAACAGGCCCAGCTGGGCACCTTGAGACCCTTGACGGGCTCATCTACCCCATAATCATTCTGCTCAACCTCTCACCGGGTAGACTCCAGACTCTCCAAAGGTCTTCCTCAGCCCCCAGCACACACCTGGGCTGTGGGGGAGGGAGGGGAGACCTACGTCTGGGTCATCCTTTCAACAGCGTTTTACTGTAGGCCAGCCAGGCTCTAACAGTGGTAATAGTATTTACATTTTCTTAAGGGGTGGGGCAAGAGCACCCTGCTGGGAGAGAGTTGAGGCTCAAGTCTCAGGTTTTCTACAAAGTAGTAAGGATGAGGCCCCGCCCCTGTCTCTACCTCAGCTTACTATGCTCCACCCACCTCGGGCAAGGTTCTGGACAGTTTAGTAAGAACAGGTGCAGCTTCAAGCTAGCTGGGGTCTGGGGTGAGGAGAATGGCTTCCCCTCCCCTCGGTAAAACTGGCTTAGATTGGGGCCGGCAGGTGGCATGGTGGTTGGGGGCGCTAGATTCCCACATGGTTGACTGTGGTTCGAGTCCTGGACCTGGCAGCTTGCTTTCTCATTCTCTCTCTGTCTCTCTCTGGTCAAATTGAAATAAACAAATGAATAAATAATAAATAAAGTTAAATCAAATAATTCTTAAAAAAAAAAAACTGGCTTAGACTTAGAGAAGTATTATTTCTACAAACCCCTCCTTGTGCCCCAGCTACACGCCTGCTCGCTCTGTTCTCACAAGCCCTACTCCAGTCCTGGGCACGATTCAACCCTGGGCAGTTCCTCCACCTGCCCACAGTCTAACACTCAGCAGGCCAGGCCAGGCCAGGTGTTTTGTTCTTGTCTGTCTTGGCCCAGCAGCAGTTGGATCTGACACCAGCACAAGCATCTGGTGTCCCTCCAGCCATGCCTTGGCCTGCCGAGATGGGCCCCAAACGCAGCCCTCAACTTGAGTACCTCCCTGCCCGCGGGGTCCCCAATACCTCTCAGGCACCTTGCCCAGCCTCTAGACACACCCCCAAGGTAGCATCAAATTCTCCACTCCTCAGGATCCCCTATGGGGCCAGCCACTACCTGCAGACCTTGTCCCCTTGCCTCACAAGCACTCATAAGCTAGGACTAGACTTTCCAACAGGTGGGCCCAGCAAAGGTGCTGAGATTGAGTCACTTGCCTAAGGTCACAGAGCTGGTAAGTGGGGAGTGCCAATTCAAACTCCATGTAGTCTAGGCTCCTTCTGGGGTAGGAAGGGAGGTGAAAGGCTGCTTCCCAGTAAGCCCTGCCAACTGGGAGGTGGAGGTGGAGGTGGAGGTGGGGGAACTCTGTTCTAACTAAAGGAGAAAAATAAGTGGGGGCCAAGATCATTCCCAGCATGACACGAGTGTCAGGTGTAAGCCTGCCCCACTCCCATCACACTCACACACACCCCGGCTTGGAAACCATACAAAGCGGGCAAGTTGGAGGGTCCTGCTGGACATGCCTTAGCCCCCCACTGGTCTCCCCTGGTAAGAAAACCTGGGGTGTGCGTGTCCCGCGTGTCCCTGTCCTTTCACTCATATCCTCTCTTGGGGAGCAAACGAGGACGAGCACATAAAGGGGAGGCCAGTGACCCACCCGAATTGGGTCAGTAAAAGGCGGTTGTTAAAGAGCCAGCTCCCCCACCCCCCTCACCCAGCGCAGTCAGCGGCGTGGCCCCTCCCCTGCACCAACAAGATCCATTAGGCTGAACAGGCCACTCGCCTGCCCCTGGCGGAGGTCACCGTGGTGACAGATGGTTTTAGGCCGAGGAGCCAGACCTCCCACGCTCTGCTCGGGTCCGGGTCCCAGCAGGGTCCCCCGAAGCCCCGGCCCGGGCGCGCCACGTGCTGCGCGGCTCCTCACGCTCCGCACGGGGGAGCCGGAGGCCCTACCCGGCGTCCCCTCTGCCCGCGGCGGGGATTGTCAGGCCCGGCCCCCCAGCCCTCGTGGCAGGCGGGAAGCGGCGCCTTCCGCCCCGGCAGTCCCCAGCCTCCCGGCCCCGGGCAGCACCTGCTGGAGAAGGACTCTTCCCGAGCTGAGATCTGCGCGCTCTCTGGGCGGCTTCCCGCGCCCGCCCGAGCACATTCAAACCCGCCCTCTGCTAAGGGCCCGCCCCCCGCCCGCAGCCG